CGCGCCGACGCCGGCACCAACGCTGGCGCCTGAGCCTGCGCCGAAACCAGCCCCGATTCCAGCATGAACGCCTGATTGCGCCTGCACCAGCGCCAACGCCTACACAAGCACCGGCGCCAGCACCGACGCCAACACTGGCGACTACGCCAGCACCAACACCTGCGACTGAACCGGTACCGACGCTGCCAACACCAACGCCAGCCCCAACGCCGGCGCCTTCGCCAGCGCCGACGCCAGCACGGATAACAGCATCACGCCTGGGATTGCAACGGCACCAACACTAGCGCCTCCACCAATGCCGATGTCAACCCTTATGCCAGCGCCAACGCCAGCGCCAGCACTGATGCCGGCACCGACGCCAGCACCGACGCCAGTACAGGGCGTCTACATTAGCACCGACGCCAGCGTCGACGCCAGCATGAACGCTTGAGATGTTGCAGGCACCGACGCCAGCATTGACGCCAGCACGAACGCCAGTGCTTGCGCCGGCACCAACGCCAGCGCCTACACCAGCAAGAATGTCAGCACAGACGCCAGCACCAATGCTGACGCCTACACTAGCACCGACGCCAGCACACTCGCCAGCATGAACGCCTGCGATGGCGCCGGCACCAACGCCAGCGCCTACACCAGCGCCGACGACAGCACTAACGCCAGCACGAAAGCCGGCGCCTGCGACTGCATCAACGCCAGCGCCCACACTAGCATCGATGTCATCACCGACGCCAGAACGAATGCCGACAACTACCCCAGCACCGACCACAGCACGAACAATTGCGATTGCGTCGACCCAACGCCAGCGCCTACACCAGCGCCGACGCCAGCACTGACGCCAGCGCTGACGCCAGCCTCGACTCCAACACGTTTCCCAGCTCCTGCTCGCACGACGACTACGACCTCCCAGCGGCTGAATTCAAAGCACGACCCTAGCGCAAGGCGTTGCGCTGCTGGGTCCATGGCGCACCGGTTCCACTACCCGTGCCAGTCACCTTGCAGCCTCCACCTTGCATCGGGGCGGCCCCCAATAATACGTAGCATCATCAAGACGGGCTTAATACCAGTGCTTCGCGGTGGCTCTCCATCCTAAAAAAAAGTTCTCGAGTGAGAGCCCTGATGTGAAAAGGAACTGCCCTCCACCATTGGAACAGCTGCTATTGGATAAACTGAGTGCGCACGGCGCTAAGGCGAGATCCCCACCCCGAGAAACATACAAAAGCCTCGATCATCGCAGGTAGAACTTCCTCCTCCGCCTCCTCCTCCTCCATTCCTTATCCTTATGATGAATAATTCCTCCCTGTCGCACCCCGAGGCCAGTCGGAAGTGTGGGCCAGGCGCTTCGCTTGAGACAGTTATAAGTTTGAAGCTAAAAACCGACAACAGCTTCAGAGATGGAGGGCGGGTCGTTTTCCAAATGCGGTTCTCGTTTTAACGCCGTGCACCATCGCCGTAAGATTTTCAAGAGCTTCACGGATTGAGGGCGTGTGGTTTTCAAACTTTGGTTTTCGCTTTAGCGCCGCGCACACTCATTGGACAATGTGAGAGAGCTTCACGGATTGAGGGCGGGTGGTTTTCAAAATTTGGTTTCCGTCTTTAGCGCCGAAAAAAACACACACGACAAAAAAAAACTGTGTTCATGGCTAACGAACAAGAAACGGTGCCCTGGAACGATTTATATTGTCAGGGCGCAACAGTCACGCTGTCTCGTGGTGCTGAAGTCCCAGACATGGTGTTCTGGCACGTGTCAGTATCGCCAAGACAGCAGTCATGTTAATTCGTGGCGCTGAAGCCCTGAGAATGTTGCTTTCAGTCTGGGCAAACCTCGACCCGCGGACGTGCTTCCGGGAGCATTCCGACCAGAATTCCGAGGCGAATTTTGGAGGTTCATAAATTTGCAAACACCTTCGTCTTTGATCCTCCTCGCCCTTCCTCCGCCACTGCTCAGCGCTGAGGTTCCCGCCTGGATGCCAGTTCCCGCTTACCCAGATTTTGCACATTGGAGGAAGAAGGGGTGGCGGATGAGCAGGAGGAAGAAAGGAACGATGAGGATCGAGGAGGAGGAGGAGGAGCAGCAGCACGAGCCGAAGGAGCGGGAGGAGCACGAGGACCAAGGGAGGGCCGAGGAGGGGAAAGGAGTGGGCGGCAACGACGAGGCAGCAACCGGATCCATACATGTGATCCGCGCTGGGGCGAGGGCGCCTTCCGCGGGGGCAGAGCGCCGATCCTGAAGTGAGGGCAGCGCTGCAGCGGGAGCACAGTTTTCGCAGGGCCGAGGGCACTCCGATCGAAAGGGCCGCACCAGAAAAAGCACATGACGCCGCCGGCCTGGGCGAGAGCTGGATGCACACGTGGCCACATGCCTTCCCAGCCCTCGGCCCTCGTGTGGCCAGACACGGTGATCCTCCACACGTGTATCCAGCAAGCGGCCTGCAGATGCTCCACACGTGAATCCAGCCACGTGTGTGGCTCGAGGCATCGTTCGGCTGGTGTTTCGCGAGCTCCCTGTCCTTCCCTCGCCCTCCCTCTCCCAAAATGTTGAGCTGGAAAAAGAATGTGTCCAGCTTCCTGGTGGGTCCGAGGCAACGCGGGGCCCTCTTGGCCCCTTTGTGGGGGGGCGCCCTTGGCGCTGGAGAAGGGGGTAACAGTGCGGGAAGCGCCGGGGAACCGCGGGAGGCACGCGGAGACCTTCCTGGAAAAGTTGAGAGTTGGGGGGTCCAGTTGGGCGCGACTTAGTGCGGGGCGATGAATGAGGGGGGGGGAATAAAAACAAAACAACGACAACCAAAAGCACAACAACAATAACAACAATCATGTTATGACTGTTCGCTCTTATCTGCTCAAATGTCATTCGGCGTGCATTTCCCGAATCCTCGATGCCCGCCCTCTTTGTTTTCGATCATACCACTTCTGGTGGTATATATTTCTTCGTGAGCTCTGCGTTATTAGCTCGGAAGTTTCCAGCGAGGGAGCGATTCCTACGTAAATTTGAAGAAGTCCCCAGCGAACGCGCGATTCCTGAATGGCAAGAGCGCGGCGCCGAGTAAATTGCGAGGAAGTCTCATGCGGGAGCGCGATTCTTGAGTAAATTGCGATGAAGTCTCAAGCGGGAGCGGGGGACCAGAGTAAATTTGAGGAAGCAGGAAGAAGCGGGAGCCGTTGTTGTTGTTGTAAACCGGGGGGCCAGGGGCCCAGTTTGAGGAAGACTTTCCTTGATAAAGAACCAGGTGCGAGAGACGGTAGAGGCACTTCGATTGAAAAATACAATGTGCACCAGAGGGGGGGGATCAACAATAATTATTTTTCAGTAGTGAGAGCTCAATCATGTTAAAAAGTTGTCGCTCTTACTGGCACGCGTGTCTTGCCCTCCGTCTACCCCAACCCTCGATACCCGCCCACTTCGTCTTCGATTGCACCCCCTTGCGGAGGGAATCTCTTCCTTGTCGGCCACTGACTGAGGTGCGAGGAAGTCTCGAGCGAGAGCGCCCTTCCTGAGTTCGGGGGCACTCTTGGCCAGGGGCTCTCGGAGTAAATCGTGAGGATGTATCGAGCAGGAGCCCTTGTCGTCGTGGCTGAGCCTCCGCCAACTTAATTGAATTGCGAGGAAGCCTCGAGCGAGAGCGCCGTTCCTGGGTTCGGCGGCCTGTCTGGCCAGGGTGTATCGGGGTAAACTGTGAGGAAGTATCGAGCGGGAGCCGTTGTCGTCGTAGCTGGGCCTCCCAGGGCCCACATTTAGGCTCAAGCCAACGCTCGAGCGGCAGCCTCGTTTTCAAAGAAAATGTAGCCAGCGTCGAGGCGAGAGCGCGCGGAACCGCTTCCGGAGATCAACAATAATTATGATTTAGAAATGGCTACTCTACAGCAACACTAATAGCAACAATAACAGCAACAACAACAACAATAATAATAATAATACCAATAACAAACATTGCAGCAGCAACAACAACTACTACACAAACAGCAGCAACAACAACAATCATTAAGATTGTTCGCTCTGATCTGCTCGCGTGTCATTCAATATGCATATCCCAAACCCTGGATACCCGCCCTCTTCGTCTTCGATCGTACCCCCTTTTGGGGGGTAGATTCATTCCCTGCCACGTGTGGTTGGTGAAGCCCTTGAAAACGAAACGAAGGGCATTCAGTGCAGCAAAGGGGCCCGAAGGGCAGCGAGAGGGCCACGAAGGGCGACAGCGGGGCTACGAAGGGCATGCGTATGGGGCCAGGACGGGCGACTGCGAGCGGGGGCCACGAAGGGCATATAATGCGGGGCCACAATGGGCAGCGACGGGGCCACTGAGGGCAGCAACAGGGCCACGAAGGGCAGCGAGCGAAGGCGACCGCACCAGTACGGGCAACGAGGGGCATCGAAGGCAGCGAAGGGCAGCGAGCGGCGACTGCAGTCCCTGACGGGCTGGTCGGGCGGGTCGAGCGGGCGGGTCGTTGAAGCGTAAATTCTGCTTGAACCGCTAGGCAAGATGTAGCGGGAGCGCCATTCCTGGGTGTCGAAGAGCGGCATCTGAATAAACTGTGAGGAAGTAGCAGGCGGGAGCCGCGATTCGGCGGTAAGTTGCGAGGAAGTCCCAAGCGAGAGCGCGATTCTTCAATAAATTGTGAGGAAGTATCGAGCGGGAGCCGCGATCCGGTGGTAAATTGCAAGGAAGTCCAAAGCGAGAGCGCGATTCTTCAATACATTGCGAGGAGAAGTATCAGGCGGGAGCCGTTGTTGTTGTAAACCGGGGGCCAACGACACAGTTTGACCCTCAAGACTTTCCAAAACAGGGTGCGAGCCTCGGGAAGGGCACTTCAATCGAAAAAACAATGTGCACCAGACGGGGGGGATCAACAATAATTATTCTTCAGAAATGAGAATTCAACAAACATAAAAAATGAGGGAGGCGGAAAGCCCCCTGCTGGGGCCTACAGGGGCCCTGAAGGGCCCCTTTTCTGCAGCCCTCGCTGCCCCCCCATGTATCGCCCCCCCCAACCATCGCCACCCAATCCAGGCCTTTTTGGCACCCAGTCCTGAGGACTGAGGGCTACAAGGGGCCCGAGGGCACTCCAAGTTGTGCCTCGCGCATGTTAGGGCAGCTGCTCCGCGAAGGCGTCGCTGGTCCCACCTCGGTGCGCGGCTCCCCGGCCGCGAGCTTCGTGGGTCCTTGACACATCAGTCCGATCACAGTTTGATGGCAAGGGGACAGGCCACCAGGACGCACTCCAACAATGGGACGTCTTTCCATGCAGCGGCACTCCAACCCGTGCCTCGCGGTACGGCGGCGGATTCACATCGAGCGTTCGTCGATCGGGGAGGCGGAGGCGGCCAGACCAGGGCCTCCCTCCTCTCCCTCCCAGACCCCCGACGTCGTGGTGTTGCTCACGAGGTGGACCGCGGGAGGTCTCGACCCCCTTCCCGGGGACCGGCTATTCGTCCCGAGCCGTACTTTGACCTCTGGAGGTCGGAAAGGGGTGTGGCATAAAGGGGGTGGAAATGGCGATGCTATCTGCGATAAATAACATCGCCAGAGTCCCCTTTACGTAAAATTAGCACCGCACCCCTTCATACCATACCCCTTCTCCTACCTACAGATGACGGTCCAGGGCCTGCGTGGGCGCCCCCCGAGGCCGAAGCTTGCCCAACAAAGACACCCGCCGCGAGCTCTGCCGCGATGGTCGAGGGGGGTCCAAAAGTGCGGGGTCGAGCCTCGACCCGCGGACTTGTCCAGGGGGAGCCGGCCGTGGCCACGAGGGCGGCCCCAGGGTGGCCCAAGGACATCCGAGCACCTCGGTCCTCGATCCCCCTCCCCCCCGTCCTCCGACACTGCCCGCCGCCTGCTGTCCCGTCGAGTCGCGACGCGGGTCCGCGGCGGCCGTTCGGGACGGCTCGGGCAAGCCCCAGAGCACACCTCGGGCGAGGCGCCGTGGTGGGAGAGCACCCAGGGGAGGGAAATGTTGTGAGAGCTTGCGGAAGCTCCCGAAAACCTCAAACTTCAATCATCCCTCCCTCCCCCCTCCCCCCCCCACCCCAGGGACAACGTCAGGGGGGGATAGGATCATGGCGGGATGCATCGACCACCAATCGCCGATTGATCGCTGATAGGGGCCTGGTAACCCATCCTACCAGGGACCATGCGGGTTCGCTACCCAGGGCTTATCGCCGATCTATCGACGATTCGAGTTCAACGTTTCCACCCCTGAGCCTGTCCCACCCTGATGGTCTCCCCCCTCTTCGTCAGTCCTCTCCCGCCCCGCCCCGCGCGCCCCAGGCGCCCCTCCTCGGGAGGGGGGCGAGAAGGAGGAGGAGCAGCAGCAGCAGCAGGAGGGGCAGGAAGAGCAGGAGAGGGGAGAGGTGGGAGGCGCAGTCTTCGCCTCCCCTCTCGCCCCTTCCCCCCCCGCCACTGCGTTCTCCCCCCCCCCCCTGGGGTCCGACGCCGCGACGAGATCGCACCATCGTGACGAATCACGTCCAGAGCCCTGGATCCCGTCGTTCTGCCCACGTGTCTCGAGCCGCATCGGCCTGCGAGCGCCCCGGGGCCGGGAAGCCCGGCGCGGGCGCCCAGGCCCGAAAAGATTGGGGCGCCGGGATCTCGGGGTCGTCTCCCCCCTCGGGCGGGTGGTAGGCAACGGAAGGGGGGGGGGGACCCAGATGGGAGGGGGGAAGAAAAACGGTGCCCTCTGGGGCCCCTTTCGGGCCCCTCCTGGCTCCAAGATTGGCCCTGAAGGGCCCCTTTCGGGGGCCCTCTCTTCACCCCCCCCCCCCCTTTGAGCGACGCGGCAAAACGGGATCGTCGTCGCCGACATTCGCGCGCAAGCTGCCCGCGTAAGGTCTCACGCAAGTGCCCTCGTCTCCACTGTGGCGTTCCGCGCTGGCGGCTTGCGTAGCCCACCGCGTAAGGTCGCTGTGCCATCTTGTGTAAGACTGTTTGTCCGTCGCTCCTGTCGGTCACCCCCCCCCCCATTACACGCCGGTCGTTGAAGGTAGGTATTTCTGGGTTCCACGATCCCAGTCTACTTCAAGCGCCTTCCTATTTAAATAATCAATATGCTCGTGCTGTGTCCAGTCATTCATTCTCTGGGAGGGCCTGAATCCAATCTACGTCATCCGCCTTCCCACATCATGCTTACACGCGTGTGCAATCTTGCGTGAGACCCTTTTTCCCCGTCTCTCATGTGGGCCACCACCCCCCATTACCACCCGCCCGACCCAGACCCCCAGCGCCGTGGTTTTTTCACAACGTCGACCCCCAGAGGTCTGGACCCCTCCCCCGGGACCGGTTCTTCATCCCCTGGGTCGTTCTTTGACGGCCCCGGGGCCTGGGAAGGGTCCCTGGAGGCAGAAAAAAGCACGAGAAGCCTAGCGTCGCGTTTTTTTGTTGGCAGCGCGAGGAGGTCTGATGGGCCCCCTCCCCTCAGGGGAGGAAAAAACACCCGGACCGGACAATTGGCGTTTCCTAGACGGCCCCGGGCGTTTACTAAACAGCCTTGGCCTGTTTGATTCCTTCTTTGGGCGCGGTTGCTGAACGATTTCGCGTGGAGGGGCGGTTCTTACCCTGACCTTCCAGAGTGCCAGAAACTAGCCCTCCAGACCTATCTACCTCTTTGGCCTACTCGGAACCTCGACGGGAATCGAGACGCCAAGGTCCTGGTGCTATTCTTTAGCCCTCGTGGGAGGTCAGGGTATGGGGGGGGATTTTTTGGACCTCCAGCCGCGTTTGCTAAACGATTTCGCGTGTCGGGCCTGTCCCTCTACAGGGGGAGTACTATTTTTCCTTACAAAAAAATGGGGACTAGTTGTTGACTGTTTGTTTAATCTTTCGGCATGTTTCTGCAATGGTTCTCCGACCTAATGGTTATCATTGGGGCGGCCTGCCCGCGGGCGACCCGGGAGGCGCCGCCGGTGCGGCGCCGAGGCCCCGCCGCGGGGCCCGAGCCGTGGGGCGCCATGAGCCAGGCGGGGCGGGGCCTCGGCGGGCCTCGGCCTCGGCCTCGGCGCCGGCGCCAGCGCCGGCGCCGGCTCGGGGGGGGCTCGGCACGGCGGCGCCGGCCTCTCTTTGTCTTGGCATCGCTCGGACGTGTGCACTTTTTCTCGGCGAGAGCCATCGAGGACCCTCCTGGACCATCGAGCAAAAGAAAAACACGCACGAAACCGAAAGATGCACGGGAAACGGACGTCCGAGCGACGGCAAGTTGTTTGTGTTGGGAGGCGGCGGGGCGCCCGAGGCTCCGAGGAGGAGAGAGGCACCGAGGTATTTCTGCTGTTCGCGATCACGCCTGAACGGCCCCGCCACCCCCCCTCTCCAGGGTCACGTCACGATTCGCGCCGGCGCCGTCTGGGAATGAGGGCCGTTCGCAAGCATTCACGAGCGGCGCCAGCGCGAATCGTGAAGACACTGGCCCCCTCCCCTCCTCCGCCCAGGGCTGGACCTGAGCGCTGTCTTGCTGGACTTCGGCTGTGCTTTGTTGTTCGTTTTGGCAGGGAGGTACCGCCATTCGAATTAGAAAAAGAAAATACGCCATAGGCATAAACTTTTGGCGCTCCGCGCGGATTTCTCGGATCCGCGCTGGGCCCCCTCTGGCAGCGCCTCCGGCGCCACCTTTCGCGCCTCTGCCCTCCCCCCCCCTCCTCCCCCCCGCTGCCCCGACGTCTGGTCGCGCCACCCGGCAGCGGGCGTCTGCAGCAGAGAGGTCCGGCCGCGAAGGGCCGCAGGCGGTGCCCCAGGCCGGCGCGTGGCGAGGCTGCCCCGCAGCGTGGTTGCACCCTCTCTCGTTCTGTGTCGCGCGGGTGGTGGTCCCTCCGCCAGGCGGTAGCCGTTTCGTCGGCCGCTCTGGGGGTGAGCCATGTTCCTCTCCGCCACTGGCCCCCAATTACCTCGTGGAGGCCTCTCAGTCTGACGAGGTGAAGTGGCCTGCTGCGGGCCGACAGATCATCACCCTACTCCTCACCATCATCATCATCATCATCATCATCATCATCATCATCATCATCATCATCACCATTATCATCACCACCATCACCATTACCATTACCATCACCATCACCATCACCATCACCATCACCATCACCATCATCCCCACCACCACCAACAACAGCCTCCTCCTCCGCCTCATCAGCATCATAATCAGCATCATCAGCAGCAGCATCATCACCATCATCATCATCAGCAGCATCATCATCAGGCGCCGCCAGTAGCTCTCTCAAAACTCAAGATGTTTACCTCTTCCGCGAGGGCATATTGATTCGTTGGGGCAGGGGGTGGGCACAGAGGGCCAGCCCAGAGGGCCCCAGAGGATGTCAGATCTTGCATTCTCTCTCTCGCTCCGCCTCGTGCCTCACCTTAGTGGCAGAGGTTAAGTTTCTCCACTAAGCGTTCAGACTCATCAGGCAGTCCGCGGGTCCGCCTTGGGGAGCGCCTCGCTCACCCACCTCCTTCTCTCCCGGACCTCCGACATCGTGTTTGGGGCAAAATGCGGGCCCCGTAGATGTCGACCCCACTCCAGAAATCGGTTCTACATCGCGGTCCGACGTCTGATGGCCCCCAGGGACCGCAGAGGGACCCCGCGTATGCCAAAGTTGCAGCAAAGGACGTCTGGCATGATTTTGTCCAGGATGTTGGAGGTCCTGAGGGCCGCGTCCTTTTCCCAGGGGAAAAACAACAACGTCGACATAACAATTCGGAGATCCGCGCGAATTCCTCAGATCGGCGCTGGGACCCCCCTGGCGGCGCCTCCAGCGCCGCCCTTAGCGCGCTCCGCGCGCCAGGGAGGGGGTCAAGCGCCGATCCGAGGAATCCGCGCGGACATCAGCATGCACCACGACGCCAACGGTGCACGCTTGTTCCATGCTGCAGTCGGACCCTGTCCCAGTCAATTGGCGTTCCACAGAGAGGCCAGGCTACGGCATGAACGTTCGCGCCCTAATGGGCGCGAATCGAATCGAGTCGAAATCGAATGCCACTGTTCCTCTAGTGTGAGGTCCTAGGGGCCGCGCCCTCCTCCCTCACCGGTTGAT